TCCATCTACAACCTTAATTCTTAACATATAGATATAAGTACATAGATCTATTCCCCTCTTGTTATATATATTTACATATGTACATGCCTGTATTTAGACCTCTATAAATGTCTTTTGCCTCCAGGTTCTTTCCTCTATTTCCTTTTACTTTCCTCTTGTCTCACCATCATGTTCAGCCTTCGTTCAACTTTAGTAATTCCTCGCTGCTACATTGCCCTTGATTAAGCCCCACCAAACGTTCTACGCCCTTCTCTCCATTGATTTTAGTTCACTTGTTATTCCCTTGTCCCTGGGTTGGTTCCCCCCACCCCTACCTTCCTTTCTCCCACTTCCCCTTAGTATAAACATTTTTAAATGCCAACAGGTACAAAGGTGTTTTTTGTTTGTTTGTTTTTAAGGAAAGGGGGTGGTAGGTTGGGAACCTATGTTGTAGACCAGGGTTCAACAAACTTTGAGATGGAAGAGCCAATCTTGTCCCTTATAATTTAAAAATTATTTGAGAGTCATAAATAATTTTTTTACCAACAAATGAGACCACCAGTATCTGGACATCCTTTAAATTTTTTCAGTTTTACTTCAGAGCCACTTACTGAAAGAGCTGCATATGGCTCTTAAGTTGCCGTTTACTGACTGCTGCTCTAGACTTGAGACTTGGAATGAGGGCCAGGGAGGAAGCACTTGCTGGGACTCATCCCTGACTTCATTCGCTAGTGAATCATATACACACAGATCAGAATGGAAGACCCACACCCTTTGGTCTTTAATGCAATTTTCCATCTTGTTCTTTCTGACCACTCCGTGAAGTATCCATCTGTGTGGTTGGATAAGAGGACTTTGAGACACAAAGAAATTGAAGCACATGCTTCTCCTAAAGTGAGAACTTCCTGCTCTCCTGATCAACTGAGGAAAGGTGGACGGTCGACTCAAAGGGTGGATCGCTGACTCCCTGGCACCTTTGAAATCAGCCTAGTGTGTGTAAGACATGTCATCACCTTTGTCTCATGTGAACCTCTGTCCCAAGGGTAGGCAGGTCAGGTGGTATACAGTTCATTTTCAGATTGAAGAGATTGGTACTTAGAGGAGAGTGCCAGCCAGCGAGTAACAGCAGCAGTCCTGTGGCAGGGGCAGTGGAGGCTAGGTGACTTGGCCTGGCTATTGTAGTAAAGGACCACACAGCTAGCTCTTACTCTGACTTTTCTTGCAGGTGCGCTGGTACCCTTCCTCTGATGCCACTCAGCCAGGATGGAAGTATCGCCAATTTTGTTAGTTCTTCAGTAAGTGCTGCCTCCAAAGTACAGGACAACAGTCTCATAGAATCCTGGCTTCCCACAAAGTGGGGCTCCTCTATGAGCCCTCCGAGCTTGCTCCCATTCCCCCTGGGCCCGAAAGAGTGCTTGAGCTAGCTATGGAATTCCTGGGCATGCTCCTGGCCAGCTCTGGACCCAGGCTTATTCTCATGACACTGGCTGCTGTCTCTTCCCACCCCTGTACCCCTGTCTTCCATCTACACAAGCACCTCAGGGTCCCTGAGAACACAGAGGAGGACTGGTTCAGCTTCCCGCCTGCCCACGGCCACCTCTCTCGCCCTTCAGGTTTTGCCAGTGCGGCTTAAAGCCCTGGCCATTGTGGGGACTCCTTGGAAGTCAGTCTGGGGATCTGTATGATGGCACGCAGCTTCTCCAGTGCCCCTGGGCAGCCTGTGGGGAGTTGCTGCTTCCCCCAAGACTGAATTTTATTCCTGACTCAGTGGAGTGCTTCCCATTTCCTGTCTCCCTCTATGCTGTCCTTCCCCCAGTGCTCTTCTACAAGGCCTCCCAGGAAGATCCGTGGACCGCCTCGTTGCAACACCCAGATCATCCCCTTTGGACCAAGCAAGGCCAAACCTCCTTTCAAAACTTGCTTTGGTAGCTCCACTTCGAGGAAAGGATGGCATTTAATTTTGCATGTTTTCTAGCATGAGTTAAAGACACGGGTATACATGAGTGTACAGTTCTCACATGGGTGTCGCTATAGCAACAGGTCCTGGTCCTCTTCCCACACCCTGCATCTCTCACCCCTACACCTGCCTGCCCCATTGAGGACTCGCTCGGCATCTAGTTCTTCCTCCAGAACCCCACCCCACACACTTCCAGGTTGAACCAGCTACAACCAAAACCCAACCAGGATATAGCATTTCCCCTGTCAAATCGGGGTCATCCTCCGACAGCCCACCACTGCGAGAAGCCTCCCTGGCTGTGTTGCTTTACCTCACTGCAGTGCGCCCTCCTTGGCACCAGTCTTTATTCTTCCCAGAGTACCAGACAACCAAAAAGTGAAAGTGTTTTTGTACCCCATGTAACAAAATATTTATGCATCATAAAGGATTTTTCATGTGTGTGTGCAATTTTTAAACAAATGTTGTTCACCCTGTCAGATGAGTTTAATGTTTAGTTTGAGGTATAAAGAAGGAGAAAAAGGTTTTCTGTGTTCTTCAGCAATAAGCCTCGTGTGTGTGTGTGTGTGTGTGTGTGTGTGTGTGTGTGTGGTGTTACTTTAAGAAATGGGATGAAGGAATAATTGTGCAATTTTACTTTGTTCTGTGAGCAGACCCTTTGCTGCAGCTGGGACTGCCTTGATGTTTTCAGACTCAGAGACTAGGTGGTTATTGTTCATTGCTGGTCCTGTGAGAATGTGAAACGAGAATATATGAAATGCAAAATAAAAACAAATCATCCAAAGTGACTGTTCTCTGAGCCTCGCTTTCACCTTCACAGGAAGCAGACTACTGGTAAGAGGGCATAATTGGAGGTAGGATACCCAGACCCAAGGGGTAAAAGTGTGTTGAGCCTTGGCAGACTGTTCCTGCCTGGTGAGAGGGTGTGAGGGCTCAGCCTCTCCCTCCCGCCTACAATGTGAAGCCTTCCGGAGTAAGTGATTTGCCCAAGCACCATATATACAGCTGGAGACCAAGTCAGGGAGCCCAAATCAGGACACACTTATCACATACAAATGACACACACAACACCCATGGCACAGGATAGGATACAAATGACAGAACACATGGCACAGAACACATACAAATGATGCAACACAGGGCGCTCATGACAGTATGTGCACCATACTGTTAGGTGTTTTGTGTTAGTATATGTACACATCAACATGCCTCATGACACATACTATTTGTGTGTGTGTGTTTACATTGGTGCGTTTTTTTGTTTTTCCCCCTTTAAAAATAAAAACAGGAGACGGTCAAGTGAATTGCAGGGGGTGGAGGTGGACACACGCACACACATGAACACACACGCCTAACTAGCCATCCACCGAAGCACACACATACCGGGTGCCTAGAATGTTTGCCAAATCCTCCTGTTGTTCATTCCCCAGGGAGGATCGCCTTCCATCTTTTAATAAATCCTGTCATGTCTTTCTGCCGAGGTTGGAGGGGTTATTGATTGGGCCCACATGTTGGAGGTAACGCTGGGGTGGAAATAGACCCCCCGCCCCCACAATTCAACAAATTAAACTCTAATTTATAAATTTATAGATAACCACTTATTGATTAAGTGGTTGACGGGCCATGGCTGGGGTGGGGGTGCAGGCAGGCTGAAACACCCTAGTAGTTGGTAAATAACCTTGAATTTGGCTTCTGTCATTTTGGCTGAGGCTTGACTAAGGCACAACGCACACACACACAACCAGTTTTGAAATAAACAGTGGCTGGGAACACCTCAGTCTGAGGACTGCAAACATTGGGAATTTCCCCCAAACATTCCCACTTCGAGGAACTGCGTGTGTCAACAATTGATCGTCCTTCCCTGCTGGCGATTGGATGCCTAATCAGCTGAGTGTGTTCTGCTGTGCTCTGGGGACCCAGAGTCCCCCAGGCTGCCCATTCACCAGCTGACTTTCACTAAAAGCTCATTTGACTGATTGCGGTGTGGCTTTTTGGACTGTCTTGGAAACCAACCGGGTACAGCTCTTCCCAAGGAGCTGTCTGTCTGTTGAAGAATTCTCAGTCACTAGCTAGGCCACTCAAATGGGAATCCATC